GAGCTGTACTGAAATGGCTTGGGACTGCGATTGCTGTAGTGGCTTTGGGGCTGCGGTTGCCACGAGCAGCTTCGTACTCAGGACTCCATCAGTGGACAGTGGATAGATTTTAACCAACCGGACTTCTTGCGGAAACTGTGATGAATTTGTTGGTTGCACAATTGCACTACTTGTCCTTATAGCGCACAATAATAGAAGGAATTTATTTATCTAATCGCACCATCTGTTACACCCAGATGAGGATGGGTTCCCTTTTGAGCCTGGTTCCTCTCAAGGTTTCTTCCTCATATCATCTCAGGGAGTTTTTCCTTGCCACCGTCGCCACCGGCTTGCTCATTAGGGATAAACTCACAGTGATAAATTCAAATATTTATAATATATTTTTTGTTAATCCATTTATTTCTGTAAAGCTGCTTTGTGACAATGTCCATTGTTAAAAGCGCTATACAAATAAAACTGAATTTGAATTTGAATTTGTTCCTCTTTCAGCTGCTCCCTGTTAGGGGTCGCCACAGCACATCACTGGTCCACATATTTGATTTGGCACAGTTTTTGCACCGGATGCCCTTCCTGACACAACCCTCCCCAATTTTTATCCGGGCTTGGGACCAGCACTGAGAGTGCACTGTTGCACACAGCCCCAGTGGCTGGGCTTGGTTCTCTGGCAAGGAATCGAACCCAAGCCACAGCGGTGTGAGAACTGTGGCCTAACCACTAGTCCTCCAGGGACCCTACTCTACTTCAACTAATTACTAAATAAATACACCAATATTTTTGTTCCTAACAAAATTGTGACTCATACAGCTGACACATCATGATTAATAAAACGTCTTTTTTACAGTTAAAAATCCACAATAACATCTTTTTAGAGTTGCACAGCATAACTCTTTGCCAGGTTACTGTGCTGATGGTCACAAAATGCCACAAATGGATTTGCCATTGTGTTGCACTTGTGCCATGATAATGAATCTCTTTGTAAAATGAAATCTGAAATTACTGTAAGAAAGAGTAGCAGGAGTTAGAAGAGAAGTAGAAGTGCCTCCAGAAAGCATACTTAGACTGCTGAAAGAAAAGTGTGTGTTTGAATACTTATCAATTATGCCGTTTTTGGACGTTTTGCTTTTTAAATAATTGTGAGGACATTTAAAAACTTTATTTAATTTTATTTCTGTAGAGAGTCCCTTCAAAATGTGCAGACAAATATCCGATCCCATGCCATACTTAAATTGGATGTTGCGATACAACAGAAGGAGAAGTAATCACTGGGTGATGAATAATTTCTGGAGGCACTGTATATATTGCAAAAATCATGTTTCTATATATTTGCAATTTGACCTTGTTATTTTTGAGTACGTTTCTGATCTTCTAAAGGCGGTTCATGTTTAATGCAAGCTGGAATAGAATGAGACCTGAAGTACTCTAATACTCGCACCTGATCAAAGGTTACTTATTGTTCTTTTATTTTATAAATAAGCCCACAGGAAGACAAGGTCCAGCAAAATTACCCCTGTGTGTCTTTGATGGAACAAAACCATTACTACTGTACCTTGCTATTAGGAAAAAAAGGTAATAAGAATCTTTTTGAGCAACTGTACACGGTCTGACTCATAAACAGAAACTGCTCTTTTCTTCCATTTATACTCGGTAAACGTTTAGCGGTTCAGAGACCAGCATCACTATTCAATACACAATACACGACTGTAAGTATTTAATAAGCATGACGTAGGACCACACAAATTAGAAATCGATTAATTAATCATTTAGATTAAAAGGTTAATCAAAGCATAATTAACCTGATCCTGCAATTGGTAATATTCTATAGTTGCTTCCTCAACTCAAGGCTATTATTTCTGTTTACTTATGACCACACTGCAAACCACAGCATCCAGATCATCGAATTTCCTTGTGATTGTACTGTAGGAGGCAATAATGAGAGACGCAAACCACAAACCATCACTCAGGTCATGCAGGAAGCTCTCTACTAAAAAAAAAAAAAATTTCAGTTGAAAAATGACTTTTGCACTGAAATTACAAAACACAATCACATCTTCAACTGTGGCTCATCCGTGACTGCTGTTATTTTACACTGTTGGCTGTATGCTATATTGTTTCTACTTCTGTAAAGGTATCTTTTTCTGCAGCATGTTAGTTCCAATATATCCCCAAAACGATTTCACATTTTGAAAATATGTAGCTGATCTGGTTTGGCAATTAGACACTATTGGGTGAATAGGAGGCTGTTCTGCTGGGCTTGTTTTGCTGTCCGGCTTTAGCAGTGGAACAGCCCAGAGGAACACTTGCTCATATTCGCCTGGGCTGAAACACTCATCATGCTCCATTTAGTGCAGGGCTTGTAGCATTCCTGGTTTACACTATTCCAAAAGATGAAGGGAATACCAGAGGCTTCTCTGAGAACACTAACTCTGCTAATGTGCTACAGCTTGCTTGGTGTAATTTGATATAGTGTTATTGTGTTATTGAACCTGCAGAGCTCTACTGTAAACTTATTGCAGGGCTGATCTCTGCTTTTCCTTGGATTGCATTATCTTAGTGGAAACACTTAGAAAGTTATTGAGGTGTGGGATCGTTTGTAACAAACGCAATTAGATTGCATGAGCTACTAGGGGCGTGACCCTCAGGTTTTTACACGATGTTATATGTTTTTGATTCTTAAGACAATGATTCAATATTTAACGATACCACTGAATCTGCTATGATATCGATGATATTCAATTTAGTAGCCTCTGACCAACTTTGTTCAGAATCTGGGGTAAGCCTACCGTTAATTCACGAATGTCCGTGACATAGAAAAGGATTATTTTAAGTATCAGAGTTATGGGCAACAGTACAAATCAGTATAAACATCTGTCCTTTTTGATCAATTATGAACAATTATAATGCATAGTAATCAATTTATAGTAAACTATAAATCAATAAGAATCAATTTATGATTGGTGCCTCAATTCATTTCAGTCGCTGTGAGTATTATTGAGATTGAATAATTGTACTGTTACTTATTTACAGTTCCAAGAAAAAACCAAGAATTACTCCTCAAATTTTTATTTAGGCCTTCAAAGTACTCATTACTAATCTCAAAGGTCTCTTCTTCTCTTATCCAGCCAATGACTGTAATGGAACGGGCTTAGTTTAAGAATCCAATTATTTCAGTTGAGCATCCGATCAGGTTCATCGATGTACATATAAACTATCAAGAAATCATGCCAATTTGTCCGTTGTGGTGACTGTCTCATGCTACACAATGTTGTTAGCTCTAGAGCTATTGTAGAAATATTGTAACCATAAAATGTTAACCACAAAATATGTACTAATATTTGTCGATATTTTTTCTTCAATGGTATAGAAGTATGGAACCGGTATAGTGCACAATGGGACAAGGAGGCCTGAAAGTGAGCTATATGACCTTAGATAGGCAGTGGTAGCCTCCTAAGAGGGGAGAGCAGAATCAAGCTGTAAATTTAAGTGAGTAAGGCTTCCTTAAACCATAACCTAAGCATATAGGGCGATGGTGGGTCTTGTGAAAAGCAGGATGTGGAAGTTTTTTTTCATGAAAATGGATATAAGAGCACCCTTATGAAGAGTCGGGCAGCTTTTGTCTGCAGACAGCTGCTCGCCTTAATTCTGGAAAGAATAAAGTCTAATGGCGTTAACAACCAGGCTCTCCAGAGTGATCTTTGAACTGCATTAATTGCTACAACATAATCTGTGTGCGTTTGAATATGAATAACCATAGACTGCAGTGCTAAATCTGATGGTGAGCATCCCTGGCCCTACCTCAGTAAAATCTTTCAATATGCTGGTAAGCAAACACTCCTATAAAACAATATGTCTTCTTTGCCTCCTTAGAAGGTAGATTTTTATCTAATTTACAAATGCATGCATACTTCCACTTTTAATTAAGATTATTTATACTTTCACTTATAATAGTATAACTTCTCAGTACTTTTATCACCCCTGCACTAATGATGGTAGCACCTCAGTGAAAATGAAAGGCACAGTTTAGTACCCTTTTTCTGAGAGTACAGTATACCAATCAATCAAGCATCATGTGGAATAATCTAATTCTCACTGACGTTGTGTGTAAACTGAACAGCAACAATTTCCAAAGCAAAAAAAAAAGTGCTTTTTTGCTTTGGAGAAGCAATCATTTTGAGATGTACCTCTGCCATGACAGGGCAGGTTGGAGGTCCCTCTGCACTTCCTCTGACTGGCTTCCACAGAGAGTGAACAGGAGAGAGGATGCTCACACTTCTTGCCTGTCCAACCCTCTTTGCACTCACACCTCCCGCAGTGACACTGTCCGTGGCCTACAGAAGCAACGAAGGATGCAAAATAAGCTGTAACTCTGCTCTGGAGACTGGCACAGAAAATCACACTACAAGTGGCTTTATACTGTATGCGAGTCTCTATATGCATGATATAATTAAAAAAAACAAAACAAAACAAAAAAACACCACCACACACAGTGAACTTGACATAAATTCACTCCTCACAAGTTTGCTCCACCCCTCCATTGCAAGCAGAAGACAGACTGTAGTCCTGATCGCAGAGTTATGCCTCAATATTAAACCCAGATGTGCATATGTTATTCTTTCTTGCCTCATGTCTGTGAGCTCAGGCTAATCCAGCAGCTCTGTGTTTACTAAAGGAGGAGTAACAGAGGGTTGAATAACACATGGAAGGAGTTCAGGTCCACCCTTATTGTTTTAGTCAAATCAGCATTTCCACTACTGGACTAGATTTGCCTGCTATTTCAGGCAATTACTCCACACACATCATACTGTAATGTCCTTATTCCTTGAGCAAAACAATTTATTTTCAACAACTTTACTTTATTGATTATAGGGTTATAGTGTTAATAAGGCTACGTGACCTCTGCATAAGCCTTTCATGATATACCTTAATCAGATTTGATGCTGGGTTAACATAGCATGAGTTAAGTGACCTAGATTTTTGTCAGGTTGAGTTATGGGACTTTCCAGGCTGATTTGCAGTCGAGCACCATGACTTTGCAGCTCAGCGTAGTTTTGGTTTGTCAGAGTCACATAATTGTGATGAGTTTAGTCTGTCAAGTAAGGTAAATTAGAAAAAATGGACAAATGTTTCCACTTCTTAAAGATACTCCACAGTGTGTCCTGTACTCAGAACTCAATGTATAACACTGTTACCTAGTCAAGCTTTTGAAAGTAACAGCCATTATGCTATATAGGTTATAGTATACATTACAATAATACATTATAGTCAATAGGTTATGTGCGCTTTGGGTTTCTTATTGGGTATTGGGTTTCTTATTTTTGGATATCAGATTATGATAATAATATGACATCAAGATGACAGAGTTACTGTATGTATATTTTCTCTGACCCTAAATTAAGCACTATTCAGACAAGATTTCTGAACCTATTTCTGTTAAGTAAAGTTGCTGGAAGATGTCTGTAGTAATTATGATAGCTTCACTTGGGGTAAGTGATATCTGTATAAATCACAGAGAGGGGAGTGTCTTTACAATGTATGCATGGTTGTCACACTAATAAAGTCATATCACCTTCACATCATTTCATTCAAAATGATCATTTCGACCTTTATTATAAGCGCTTTTAGGGCATGTGGCTGAGCAAGTTGCGCTCGATTATTAGTAGGCCACTTGACCATAATACGAATGTAGGCTAAACCTGTGTTAGCAAATCAATAACTTACCTGAAACTCCTGGT